GGGGGAGACAGGTAGGGGGATTCTGAGGGGGGCAGGAAGTGGGAGGGGGCGGGGCTAGGGCGGCATCCTGTGTCCTCTTTTTTGATTGATGAAATATGCTAACCCTAGCATAGGTTCCATTCCTAGCTCTGTTGCTGTATGACCTTGGGCAAGTCACTTACCTTCTGGGTGCCTCATTTTACTCTGGGTGTAATACCTGCCTGGGGGACTGTTGTCTTAATGGACCATGCTGTGCTTTGAGATCCTTGGTTGAAAGGCTCTTTATAAATGCAAAGTGCAACTGATATATCTGCTTCCATTTTCTTCTTTCCACTGCCATCAGCTTGGTGGGAGTGGGGAGTGTCACCTGCCTGTTTGGGGGCTTCTGTCACAAATGACTCTGCCCCAGCAGCTCCCTTGAATTCTCAGGCTGCCCTTTTTATTCTCTGCAACCTGCGTTTGAATCTAGTCATTTGCAAGGAGAGCGGGATTGGCCTGTAGGAACATCTGTGGTCATCTCTTGCTTGGATTTGTGTTTGATTATCGATTGGGTGCAATCTGGTACATTTTAAAGACACACACCCCTTGCTTCTCAGTGGCATCTCTGTGAGCCATGGATGGTTTACAAGTTTCCAGAGAGGAGGGTGAACTGTCAGCAATTGGAAGGCCCCACCAAGCCCCCTTTCAGATTGAATGCTGCTTGGAGCATCTCTAGTGTCTTTGGGGCAACCCATGCCCTGCCGATAGTGGGGGGCAGAGTGAGGGCAGCCGGCTTCAGCAGTGTTACTGAGCATGCTCAGTCCGTGTGAGCATGCTCACTACAAGCCAAGCAGCAAATCTGGGGAGGCGACCCTGCCTGCCCCCCCTCCCCCGTGTGTCCCCTTTCAGACTTTCCCATCAGTACAGTGAACTATATACCTTGTTGGAAAACATTGCTTCCCAACTCCCTGATGACCTTGTAGCATCTCCCCTATCTCCCTTGCCCTCCCTGTGTGTCCCCCCCAACCTCCCCCCCCCACAAAGAGTTTTGACATCCACTCCTATTATCAGGCAGTTGAGACTTAGTCCCTCCAGCTGTCACAGCTGATGCTGTCCTGGTTTAAGCACAGGGCCATTTACCTTCCACGTGTCATGAATTAGGGGAAATGGACAGGAGGGCTGGGTCTGTTTAAAAATTAAAGCTGATTACAAGGCATTAACATTACATTTAAAGAAATAGACAGCAGCCTGCCTTGCTCACCATCACTGCAATATGTTCCCCTTTGCTCCGAGCTGGAGGAGAGCGCACTGATCTCAACGAGACGTCAGCATCTACTTGGTCCCCTAGCTTTATGTGTGTCTTAAAAATCGCAGCTTGTGGATTTCATTTCTGCCGGGAGATTTAAAAGCCGCTCTGCTTCCCGCACCCTAAACGTAACCACCATTTCTGTGTGATCACGCCAGAAAGCGTTCTGGCTCCAGCGCAACTCCTTTCTTCCTAGTGACGATGCACCCGGTGTCACTAGTGCTGTGATTTGTCCAAGTTGCTTGAAAGAGTTACGTGTCCAAATCCTGTTGAATTACAATGGGATTTGGGTGCCTAACTCACTTAGGCAACTTTGACTAGTCAGTCTCCGGCTTTTGCCTGAGGAGGAGTGATTATGAGGGAACGACCTTATTTGGGGATGGGGAATGATGGACAGTTGAGTTGGCATTTCTTGCCAAGTGGTGTCATGTGGACACACAGAGCTAGATGGACAAATGTTTAAAAAAACATAAAAAGTCCCTCAGTTGAACATCCCAGTCCCAGGACTGCGTGGGTCCATTTTCAAACAGTCGTGACCAAAAGGAGCTGTAAGTGCTCAGCGATGTAAAAGGGGTCGTATTGTTACCCGGGGTTCTTTCAACCCAAAGCTCTTGGTAACTTTTACTCTGTGCGAGGAGGTGTCAGGGAACAAATTAGAGGAGACACGGCCGTCCGACCAATAGATGGCTGGCCCAAACAGGACAACACAAGAGTGCTTTCACTTAAAGCTAAACTTTACTTAGTCACAAGCACTTACACACGTCCGCAACAGGTTAGTAACACACCCCCAACCCTTGCTAATTACCAAAGCTGAGTGGCTCTCGAGTGGCACAGTGGCAGCCCGTCTGCCGGTGGGGACCACAAGATGCATCCAGAGGGAGAGTCCAGTCCCAAACGAGTCCCCTTATTTATACATTAGTAATAGAATGACATGTCCCTTAAAGAAACCTTGTTAAGTAAGCAGTTTCAAGCAAGAGGTTCCTTCTGATTATTGATTAACCAGGTGTGGGTTTTTCCAGGACTTGCAGCCTTGAGACTTCAATAGACATTCCTGGGGCATAGCCTACTCTTTTAAAACGCATGTATCAGCAACTTCAACACAATTCTTATCAGGAAGGATGCGGGGTCAAGCTGCCCTTTCTGTGGCACCCAAAACCCCCTTCCCTCCTGCCTTGGTCAAGCTGCGTGGCCATTTTACAGCCTGCTGACTAGGTTGCTTTTTAACAAGAAGCCGTAGTGGTTTCAGGCATTTTACTGGTTTGCCAAAGTCTCCCCATACAGTATTACTGCTTCCCCACAACTGGATGGTGTCATCCCGATGAGCTGCAGTAATTAAATAACGAAGGGCAATTTGCTTTGCAGTGCTTGGGCTGCACTGCGCTTTGTTGTAAACACAGTGCTAGTCAGCAAAGCCACCAGTGGGGCATCCGCTCCCTCTCCCATAGCAGTGACATCCAGAGTCATTTTGCTTGGCTTACAAGTTCAAAGCAGGATTTGTCTAACCGTGGCAGCAGAACAAGATCAGCCCCAAAGCTGCCCCTTAAATTCCAGCCAGGCTCTCTCTGCTCTACGCACTTTTAGGAAAGAGGGGGCACTGTTCCTGACTCTGATACCAAATAGGATTACAAACATATATTTTTTGCTTGTTTCAATGCCCAAAATGTGCTCAGGGCTCCCCAAACATGTAGGAAGACCCAGTCCCTGCCCCCAAAGAGCTTCCATTCTAATAGCATCCACCATGCAAAAAAGTGCCCCTTCACTCAATCTTCTCCACCGCTCTCACTAGCCGAAGTTCCTTGCTCACCATCCTCTTTGTCGACACTCATCAGGCAGCCTTGAACAAGTGCTGCAGGAGCCCCCTCCCTTGTTCAGGAGCCCAGCCAAGCTGCCTCCATGAACAGACAGCTGGTGAGGTATCTAAGGGAGTGCCAGCCCACAAGAGGGAGACTTGGAGGAAGGGGGACCTTTTGGTCCTTGTGGTCTCTGATCCCTGCTGATCCTCTGGTGTCTGGGTCCTGTGTAGAGGGGAGTGACGTAGCACCTGCTGCAGTTTCAGGCTCCATGGTGGCTGACCTCATTCCTGGGAGAAGCAGATTTTCCCTCAGACCACGTGTTGCGGGCCTTCTTCCAGGCCTTGTATGCCCTTAGCTGCATTGTCGTTTTTCTACCCTGCAGGGTTGACTGAAGTGATGCCGAGGTATGACTGTGGTTCAGCCTGTGGTTACCCTCAATCGGTTCCGATCAGGAGGGGCTCTACCACCTCTGCGCCTCTATGTTACTGATGAGGCTGGCTGCACTCTGAACTTTTTGACGCAAATAGGGCCTGGCTCTCGGAATCCTGGCAGGTTGCCCACATGGCTATTAACTGGGCAAAGTATGGGCACCCTCTGTTTTTGGGAAAAGAGTGAAGAGTCCATTAGAAAATGTTACAGGGGTTTTTTTTGGTAGCAGAAAAATAGTCTAACCTGAGGGCAGCTTTGAGCTCTTTCTTAATGGATGTCAGTGGGAGAGGGATGCAATTTGATCCAAATGGGAAGCTGGCTCAAATCCCAGCAAGCTGTTGTAACTGTATAAGGCATCTTACGAAGTGAGACGGTTCCTCCCATAAACTTCCCCTGCAGGCAGAAGAAATCCCTTGTAAATTAAACTGCAAACAGGGGCTTTCCCAAATACATTTCTGTTTAATTTCCTTTCAAGCACTGAAGCGTGTTTGTACATCTGTCCCTTTTAAGAGAGGAATAGCCTTGACGTGTATGTTAATTGAAGTTCCTTCACAGTGGAGTCAGACCCAGTCAGTGTCGCCTTCATCAGATCTCTGCAGCACAGACTGATTTAGCCCGATCTCGTAGCCCTTACCCATATGAGCTATCTCATTGTAGTCAATGGAGGTACTCCAGTGAGTAAGGGTTAGAGGTAGGGCCCCTAAAACTGTGTTCATGGCATAGGGTGAAGGCAGCCTGCGTTTGGGAATTAATTTTATGAGCCGGTCACACAAGATGTTTGTGCTTCTGCTTTTATAAAACGTATCACTTTCATCCTTCGGTTGCTATTTCCCAGGATGACCAGATAGTAACTGTGAAAAAACGGGACGGGGGAGGAGCGGGGGATAATAGGTGCCTATATAAGAAAAAGTCCCAAAAAATGGGACTGTCCCTTTAAAAACTGGACATCTGGTCACCCTACTATTTCCTAAAGAGTCAAGCGCTGTTGCTGGCTTTGAAAAGGGGCTGGATAACATTTCTAGCTACTCGTGCTAAGAAAGGAATACTCGGCGCTCCTGCCTCAAGTTGTCAGCAGATCGTGACAGAGGTCAGGAAGAGATGTTCTGCCACCCCAGGGTACAGCACGGCTAGTTACCTTTGTCTGAATCATCAAGGACTGGCCTCTGCTGTAGATTGAGTACCCAGACCTTATGGAGCAGTCATCTCTTACGATTTTTCAAATCCTACATGCAAACTGGGAATAGCCACAGGCAAATTCCAACTTGACCATTCTGTCACTTCCTGGTAATCCACCATTTTGTGCTCCTCCTCCCACCCCCTCCCCGATTGCAGCCCAGCAAATGAATGGGGTGAGACTGACATAGGTAGCCAATACCTGCTCTCTGCTGTCATTGGGTGGGGCATGACGACAGGCTGGAATGTGAAGCCATTTTTCTCTTGCCCTGTGACCAGGAGGGGAATGTTAATGTAGCTGCCCGGTGGAGGGCAGTATGTTTCTCTCTTGAGCCTGGTGTCTTCCCAGTGACCTTCTCAGCTCATGAAGACAGCTTGGCTTTGCTGTAAAGCAGCTCATGTGACTGCAGTAATCCGCAGGCAGTAAACAGCTGTGTAGGAAGATTGCAAGAGGAATCGGCCTATTTTTCCGCACTGCAGACTTTGGCATGAGAACACAAGACTCGGGGCGGTGGCTTCTACTGCCGCACACCCACCTTTATGCATTCTATCCGTGGCTGCACGACACAGCCAATCAAACCTCTCCCCAAGAGCCTGTCTTCCCCTCGGGGCTCAGGCTGCCGCGTGCTACGCACTTGGACAGGAAATAGGGCTTTCAAATGACATAGGGGTGCTAATTACTTGGCTCCGCAAGTCCATCAGGAGGGCAGTGTGTTTGGAGCAGTTCCAGATGTCACTATGCAGCCATTTCTCTCTCATAGTGGAGAGGGCACAAGGGGTTCTGAGTCCGTGTGAAGCTGCAAAATAAATTATAAGATGCAAAAAGCTCCTGAAGTCGTTTCCCCTGGATCTTTTCCAGTAACGGGGAGGGGGCTAGATCTGAATTTGACTCCATCCTCACCCCACTGAGAATGGACTCCTTTGGCTTCCTTTATTCCTGGGCAGAAATAACTCTTGAGGTAACTTCCTATCCTACATAACGCTTCTTCTGTGGACTCTCAAATAGCCCTCTCTGCCAGGGAGGCTACTCACTAGCTGCTATTCCAAGACTAGAATGTTCTACGAAATAACAGCTGTACACATAGTGTCTTGGATTTGCACCAATTAAGTGCTGACAGCGTGACTTTCTATGCTTATAGGAAGTCCTGGTCCCAAGAGCTCCCAGGCGAAAGCACAGGCACACTGGGAGACCCAGAGAAAGGACATTAGCTTGGAACTTGTTCAGAATTAACCATGGCACCATTCACTGTTCCCATAGCTGGTTTATAGATCACGGCCATTTTCTCTCCCTTGTCAAGGAGAGGATGAGTGTGGATCCTCTTGGTCTTGGAGTTCTGAGGATCCTTCAATTTCCTCATCTCTCCCCCTGTGATTTTAGTCGTCAAACTCAGAGCATCTTCCAGGGGAAGCTTAGTAAATATTCATAGGATCCTGCTTACAAGGAGCAAAGTGCAGGAGGCGATCATGAACTAAGTTGTCTCATCTTCAGTTGTTGAGACTCTGAGAATAGGCAGGGCCGGTGCAAGGATATTTTGCGCTCTAGGCAAAACTTCCAACTTGCGCGCACCCCCCCACACACATCAGTTCATTGAGGGGCAAATCCCAATGAGCCTTTATAGACCCCAGGGTCCAGCCATGCCCCCAGGGGCTGCTCCCCAGACCAGGTTCCCCCCTCCCCGCCCCCTGAACTCCCCTGGAGGGTGCACAACCCCCTCACCGCAAGTCCTCCCCATCCCACCCCACCCTGGCGGCCCCCGTCCCGAGTCCACTCACTATCTTTGCCAGGCTTGGCAGGGAGGAGCCGCCTTCCAGAGGCACCGGAGAGCCAGAGTGTCGGCTTGCAGGGGCGGCGATCCCCAGCCATGGAGGAGCCGGCACAGCGTAGGGGGGCAGCAGCCCTGCAAAGGTGTTGGCACTGCTAGTGGGGAGCAGCCGCACCTCCCACCCCTCCTGCCCAGGCTGCGTCCCGGCGCCCCCCGCAGACTGCAGCAGATACCTGTGGGCACCAGCCCCCATGCGCCCCCCGGCTCCTCCCTCGCCTAGGGTTACCATATTTCAACAATCAAAAAAGAGGACCGGGGGAGCCCCGCCCTATCCCCCATCCACTCCCTCCCACTTCCCACCCCCTGACTGCCCCCCTCAACTCCCCCTCTGCTCCTTGTCCCCTGACTGCCCCCTCCTGGGACCCCTGCCCCTGACTGCCCCCCAGAACCCCACCTCCTACCTAAGCCTCCCTGTTCCTTGTCCCCGACTGCCCCCTCCTGAGACCCCCCCACCCTAACTGTCCCCCTACCTGTCCCCTGACTGCCCCAACCC